TGTATGGTTAAAACCTACGGTATTTGCCAATTTGAAATGAAAACAGAGAACAAACACATCTACTTTGATTGTAACATTTCACTAATAATTACAGGAGCGGTCCTTCTTCAAAGAGGTGTGTGTGTGTGTGTGTGTGTGTCTGTGTGTGTGTGAGAGATAGAAAGAGGGAGGGAGGGAGGGAGAGAGAGAGAGACTCAAATCTTGGCATCACCTACAAATGATATGGTTATATCACATGCATCATGATGTTGTAAAACAAACAATAAACAGTATGTAATTTTGAACCTTTCTTTGATTCTGTCATGATTCATCACGTGTGAAGTCACTTCCTATCCCTACAGTTATATGTCACACTAGGAAATGATTTCTTGAACCATGACTGGCTGAATAAATCAACATTATCTGGGTTTTTTACTACATGAAAAGTCATAAAACATGGTTTGTGCTGTAAATCACTTTTGGTTCACACAGTATGCAAAACTGAAACAAATTACACTGTGACATAATGTAAAATGAACTAAAATGTGTGTGAGTTAAGAGAAAAAGTGAACAACGTTGCCAATTTTAGTTACTTCACAGAACATTTTGCAATAATGAATGTCATATTCCCAGTTGTTCTCCAAAATATCATCACATAAGAACTGACCAGGTAGCACCGTTGTATCATTTTAATATGTGTCCTGTTACATGTGACTAATCAAGATTAGAAGAAAATATAGAAACTAGAGCAAACAATTACACCAACATTTGTGACATTTGTATTTATGTAAGGTGTAGTTTTTTCCCCAGAGTGGGTATGAGAGTTGGTGTTTTTATGAAGGCAAAGTGAGCATCTATGATATAGAGAAGACTTTTTGTTGTATTAAGCTATCAACAGCAAAACACGCTGTAAAAAAAGTGATCCAAGTAACTAATTTCCAGATATATATTAAAGCAACATTTTTTATACGAGTGGCTAACCTGAGGTGGAGACTGAGGGTAGGATAGTGCTCTCTCTCTCTCTCTCCCTCCCTCCCTCCCTCCTTCCCTCCCTCCTTCCCTCCCTCTCTCTCTCTCTCCCCTTCCGTGTGTGTGTGTGTGTGTGTGTGTGTGTGTGTGTGTGTGTGAGAGAGAGAGAGAGAGAGAGAGAGAGAGAGATTCTATAGACTCTATAGACAGAACACAATAAAGTACTTAATTTGAGCCTTTTGCATATGGATGTGATTGATTAGGTCTGGCAGATATACTTCATTATCAGCCACACACTATATATTCTCTCTCTCTCCCTCTCCCTCTCTCAAACATATTCACACACACATGGAGGGAGGGAGGGAGGGAGGGAGGGAGGGAGAGAGAGAGAGAGAGTTATTGGGTCTGACAGATATACTTTATTATCAACAACACACCATTCTCTCTCTCTCTCTCTCTCTCTCTCTCTCTCTCTCTCTCTCTCTCTCCCTCCCTCCCTCCCTCCCTCCCTCTATGTCTGTGTGTCTGTGTGTGTGTGTGAGAGAGAGTATATAGTGTGTGGTTGATAATGAAGTATATCTGTCAGACCCAATCAACTACATCCACATGTGAAAGGCTTAAATTTAGTACTTTATTGTGTTCTATCTATAGTACAGGGATATCCCTGGACTGCTTACCTTCTTTAGGGAACAAATAAATAAAGTTCCATGGAACTTAAAGGAGGGAAATGGGTCAACTCTGCAGCAACCCAAGGCTAAATTCCTGCAATAGCAATATTTGAGAGGACATTGGCATTGGCATTCTGTGTAGCTCCTTGTTTTTAACACAAGACGGATTTTTGAATCAAAAGTTGCATGTAGGTAGTCTTTGGCTTATGATCATAATTGGGACAGTATTTCCATTGCTACACAAGGTGGTTATTAAGATCTAGATTTTACAAACTTCTTTGCTATAGTTGTTATATGAATCACTGCAGTTGTGAATCAAATCTACTTCCCACATTGACTTTCTTGTGGGAAGCCAGGTGGGAAAGTCAAAAATCACATGACTTGTAATCATCATAAATATATGCCAGTTGCCAGCACCTGAATTTTGATCACAAACTGTAAGGTTGCTGAAAGTCAAGGTCTGATTATATTGTGTTTTTCCAGTGCCATTGCAACTTCAAATGGTGGCCAAATGAATGGTTATAACTCAAAGACTATGTGTATCCTCAACTTCCAAACAGGAAATATATTGTATATTGCTAGAAATCAATAGAGGCCTTGAACTTAAAAATGTGTATTCAATCCTATACTGATTCTTTATTAGTTCCTTCAAGTTTAAAAAAAGGTAGATCATATGTTATTTAATTTGTAACCAGCATGGCTTTTTTCTGAATCTTTTTTTCTGAATCTTTTTTGTAATAGTCACAGCATTTTATAGATTACTAGTGTTAGAAGAAACTCATCCAGAAGCAGACCTAATGCAACATTAAACCTATTTAGATTCCTTTGAAAGTCTAGATTTCACCATGCTTACATCTGTATTTGATAAACACTTTGTATAATATTTGCGGATAAAAATACTTCTTTTAAAAACTGAATCTCTCTCTCTCTCTCTCTCTTTTACTTTCTCTATTTTTTTCTCATTCTCAACTATATTATTAGGTCTGTTCTGGCATCATGTTTTGTTTTGTTTTTACTATTGTCTATAATAAGCTTTGGTAGACTAATTTGGTATTGCTATGATACCTAGTTCATAGTGAATGTTTTCTATTTTGAAAGCCATCCTTCCTTTTGAAAAGAATATCAATCCACTCAGTGGTAAAGAACATGATGGCAGGACCTCAAAGCTTTCTATTTATATATTGTGTTATTTAGTGCATGTGTGTGGGTGGGTGGATGTCTATGTATGTATGTATATACAGTATGTNTTAGTTTGTTAGCCGCCCTGAGTCCCCCTGGGAATAGGGCAGCATACAAGTCTAATAAACTAACTAACTTTTACTTTACTTTTAGGTATGGTATTCTGATGTAGGTATTTAAGGAAATTGTGGTCTTGTTTTTTTCATTTCATTGCTTATATATATTTTTGAACCTCTGCATAGACTCCCTGATTCATCTTTTTTTTAAAAAAATAATTGAATTAACCATCTGCTAAATATATAGTCAGCTCCTCTCTAAAATGTCAACATTCAGTACAGCAAAACCAGAAAAGAATCTGAAGCCACACTGAGGGTTATGTTCCATCTATATAAATTTCCTTTGGTGTTTAACATCTGTGTTTATTGCCTTGATTGTGGATTCCCCCTCTCAAATATTTCTGAAAATTAACAAGCTTTGGCTTGTACTTAGCAGGGGATCACTGTTAACAGCCTGTTTTAACTTTTAACTGCATGAAGGTCTCCTTCCGTTCAGGGAATCAAAACCCCATTTGAGATAATTGTGGCTGACAAACTATCGTCTCTGCTTCTATGAATCTGTCCTCTGTTGACAACTGGGATTCCCCAGGGAGAAGACATTATTAGGACAACTATCCAGGACAATGGCTGTCCCACATTCCCTCTCTCCACCCCCTTTCATGTTTGAAAGGTAATGTTTCCTCCTTACCATGCCTCCATATGCAGAGACACATTTTCAGTCTATATTGCCTGTGTTTCTATTCTTCCACTGTAATTTATTGCAGGAAAGAAGCCATGTTGACTTTATGCTGGTGTGTAACATCTGTGCTTTATTTGCCAAGTTCTTGTTCCATGAAATTTGAAGCAGGAATTGCTTGATGTCCTATGGTAGATGCTATATGATGTGTTGCTTTCACTGGGTGATTTACTGACAAATAAATTGTAATAATGTGGACTTTATCACTATTGGTATCAACAAGAAACATTTTAAAGAATATCATGATAATTTATCATGTGTGCATATTAAATACACATACATTCTTTATGTTATAGAGACCTTATTTTGCAAATGTATAACTCACTTTCAGTCAGATTTCTTTTCTATTTTCTGTGTGATTTTTGAATACTCCCCCCTCCCAGCATCAACCTTTTATTGGGCCTTCCTTCCTTCCTTCCTTCCTTCCTTCCTTCCTTCCTTCCGTCCGTCCGTCCGTCCGTCCTTCCTTCCTTCCTTCCTTCCCTCCCTCCCTCCCTCCCTCCCTCTATATTCTCCATTAATTTACTGATGTTTAAGCAAACCTCTTCAGCTACCATCTCCAACTTTCATCTAGGTTTCAATAGATTCCCAATGGGCATAAGCAAAGCATTCTTATTAAAATGGCTGCCACACAACAGTAATTTTATTTTATTTATTTATTTATAAAATTTATATGCCGCCCAATCCCGAAGGACTCCGGGCAGCTTACAAAAAAGAGAGAAAAAAAGATACATAACGACGCCAACCGATAACGACACCGACCGATCGGGGGTCGCATAACTAGTCACTCTCTCCCTCTCTCCCCCCATCTCTCATAGATCTATCTATCTATCTATCTATCTATCTATCTATCTATCTATCTATCTATCATCTATCTATATGAGTGTCACTCATCTCATCGTAGGTACTCTGAATGGCTTACAAACATTAAAAAGTATTACACATTAAAAATAATAAAAGAAAAATAACAATAATAGATACAATTAAAAGATGGGGAAGAGCAGCAAGAATATGAGGAAAGGTCTTTTCCAATCCAATAGGCACTTCCAGAGTGGTGCACTGGGATCCCAGGCTAACTAGCAGAGCCAGGGATTCAGACCTAAAAAGAGGGCTGCAGATCTCACATGGGGGGTGGAGGTGCGTGAGTGGTAATTTTGTTCCAAAGGGCAGGGACCATGGTAGAAAAGAGTCTTCTGGACCCCATCAGCTGAAACTCCTTGACTGAACCGCATGGCTCCTCTGTTAGCATGGACAGGTGGACCAATCCCATTGGGATGAGATGGTTCTTCAGATAACAGGGAAGGGATCTTGGAGGTCTTCTAGTCCAACCCCTTGCTCACGCAGGAAACCCTATACAAATAATTGTCCAATCTTTTAAAAATCACCAGTGTTGGAGCAGCCATAACTTCTGAAGATGAGTATGCCATGAAGGGCTTTAAAAGGAATAAGCATCCTGGAAGCAAATCATCAGCCAATGCAGCTCATGGGACAGGGGTTTGATATGGGTCACCCTAAGGTTCCAAGTACTGCACACACCACTGCATTCTGCACTAGCTGTAGCTTACAAGTATCATTCAAGTATAGCCCCATGTAGAGTGCATTGCAGTAGTGCACATGTAAGAACACTAGAGCTTGATTATTTGGGACTCCCAATCCAAGAAAGGTGACTGGCGTAAAACACAGAATTGTGCAAAGGCTCTCCTAGCCAAGATTTTTGAGCAGGAGTAGTGAGTCCAGGAGAACCCCCAAGTTGTGCGTTGGGTCTTTCTGCGGTAGTGCAACCCCAACCAGAATTAGTGACATTAAATTCCTGGCTTTTGAAACTCCAGGTACCCAAAGCCATTTATTCTTGCTAGGGTTAAGTCAATACATATTCCCTCTCCAGACCCCCTTAGTATCCAGGCACTGTGAGAGGGCAGCAATGGCATCACTTTCTACAGGTAGAAATATAGAGTTGAAATTGCCAATTTACCAGAAAACAAATTAAATTACTTTCTCTTTCACTAAGCTCTCATGTGCTCTCTATCACCATTGTTTATCTTTGTCTTTTTGTCCCTTGTCCCTGAGTTTCCAATCTCTGTTTCTTTTGTATTGACACTTTAAGTATTAAAGACACTTAACTGGGCCTCTCTGTTTAAGAGCTTTCTGTTCTGGTCCTGGGTCTGTAATTCTCTCATCTGGTTGTGGATTGTAAGTCACTATCTTTTCATTGGGCTACTTTCTTATATCCAAAAATAATTGTGTCAAGCTATATAATGCTATCTTGGTATCAATAGCAGGTTTTTTCTGTTGTCTAGGAAAACAGCTAAGAAGTTCTTATCTTTCCTCTTAGTGTTCAATCTAATGTTTCTTCCATGTGACATTGTAAAAAAATTTACTCCATTTTTATTGAAAACTCAGTATCATATCTTACTTTCATTAATATGTCGTTACTGATTGTTGGTTTATTTCCCCAAATTATTTTGATTTGTTAGACATACATAAGACTTTGCTTCTAGAAATTTAAGATAGCAAACATAGCACTTCTCATTTCCAGATTTTCCTCACACTAGCAACAATTTTGTACTATTCAGGAGGTTGCAAGATACAGTGACAGAGTCAAATCACCCAGTAAGCTTCCGTGGTAGAAGTTGGACTTGAATCTGGTTTTCCCACTCTTAACCAAGGCTTTCATCACTCTATCATATTGGTTTGCCCTACAATTGATCCACCAGGAAATAAGGGACCAATTTTGTTCTCTGAAACATCCGTGGAAAATTTCTTTAATGCCTGTTTCTAGAAGACTCAGATGATGCTGGTTTTCTTTCTTCTTCAAACTCCTTTTCAAAATTCATTTTCAGTTAAGTCCTTAGTACAGTGATTTGTTCCTTATACCCACTGTGACAAAGGCTAAAACATGTTTTATTTCTGATTCTCTGTCTCCTTGGGTCAGATTTCTAATCTCAACATGTTTAGAGTAGCAACTGGACCTCGCACATTTGATGAACTTTGATCATATTGCAATGAATAGAAATTTTGATCAGATTCTTTTGTGAAGATTAGCTGTAATTACCCCTTCTGGTAACGTCCAGTAAGATCAAGCATGGTGAATGAGTTCCAACCGTGTCCCCTCAATTAAATAATATCATCTGTTGGGGTCTAGAAAGCATGCCTTATTTGTCACAGGATCTTTCCTCTGGATTAGTGTTTCCCTAGAGTTCCATATGGTTTTGTTGTAATGATCTGAAAGTCTTTGAAAGCCTGGCTATTCTCCCAGAGTTTGGGATAGGATGGNGTATGTATGTATGTATGTATGTATGTATGTATGTATGTATGTATGTATGTATGTATGTATGTATGTAATTTCTTCCTTGATTTATTGTTTGTTTTTATGCTGGATGCTGCCCAGAATCAAACCATTTGAACTGGGCATCCTTATAAATCTTTACAACAAACAAATAAATATTAACAGCACCTGGAGAGACACAAAGATCAGCTGCCAATAGTCTTTAATATTATAGTGAGAATAAGGAAATGGAATAAGTAAAAGGTAGAGAGAGGGGGGGAGGGAGGGAGGGAGAGAGGGGGAGGAGGGAGGGAGGGAGAGAGAGAGGGAGAGAGAGCTGTCCAAACTTAGTCTCTTAAACAAGAACAACCCTCAAAACTATTTGGTATGAAAGATTTACTTTATTAAAGTCCAAATGAATTACAGAATAGCAAAGCCAGAACTGAGGTTCATGTGTCAAATTTTCCCAGTTAACTTTTCTCCCCTTGTTATTTCCCATTGTTGATTTCTCATTGCCCAATCATATTCAAATAAAATGTTGTCTCTTCAACTGCATAGTAGGTGGTGCGGAGGTACATGCCTTTCCCAGCTGTCTGACCTTCAAGTTGTGTCTCTAGAAGGTATGATAAGTCATTAGCCTTTCCCCCTCCCACACAGCTTCCCTCCTACATATTTCATGGTAGACTGGCAGCTAGCGAATGCGAAGTGAAGGCATGAGATTGCAGTTCCACAAGTGTGTTTTGTGTGCAGATCCTTTGGATGGTTATTTGCAAGTTCTTAAAATAGCCATATAACAATAGCCATATCAAATAGCAATATCAAACAAGTATCAATAATATTGAGACAACTGTGTTTGACATTTTTTAAACTTTACTTAAAAAAAATATACCATAGGTCTATTGCCAGCCTCATCATCTGCTGTAGATAGTCGGTAGATTGGTCCTTAGTAGGATTCTTGCAGCCCCAAATGACCAATTTCACTGTATAGCATTTCTCTTGAATTTATAATTATTCCTAACTTTGTTAATATTGTACCAAAGGTAACCTGCAATTTTATTTGACAAATGGTGTGGAAGAATTATTCATTAGAAATATTAAGGAAGGCTGGGCATGGTGTTGATGATTGATTGAGTTTAATTCATTGAGACAATTAGTGAATCTTAGAGAAAAGCAGGTTTCCTAAAAGAATATCCAGGATATTTTTTGATTTCCTTCTGTGGAAATATCTAAAGAGTAGCTGTGAAGGCTTTTGGATGAAACCAGTTACATGTCCTAGTATAGAATTTAGGAATACATTCTTGTCCTATACCCATGATGGTGAACCTATGGCATGCTTGCCACAGGTGGCATGCAGCACCCTCTCTGTGGGCCATGAGCCATTGCCTCAGTTCAGCTCTGCCGCACACGCATCCTGTTGGCCAGCTCGTCTTCGGGTCTCTACCACGCATTTGGGGTGCAGGGCATGCACATACATTGTATTTTGGTGGTTTGGGCCTGTGTGCATGCATTTGTGCATGCATACACCCATTTTCGGTACTCAATCTGGAAAAGGCTAGCCATCACTGTCCAATGGCTACTTAGTTTCTCATTGTCCAGGATTAGAATGAATGGCACTAAGGTCTGTAGCAAGTTTTCTGGTGTTGCTCTTAAATAGATTTCTTAGCTGAGATTGATTGATAGGGAAAATATTCTTCAGTTTCATTCATAAATCAATAACCATCATTTTAAATATTTAATTAGTTACATGGAATTATTTGAAAGATGCCTTCTTTCTAGACATTCACCTTCACCTTCTTACCATATCTGATTTGAAGTTATGAAAGATACTTCCTGCCCAGTCAAGGGAATCAGATAAATGGAATGACAATAGTGACAATAGTTATTAGGAAGTGGTACTTGTTGAACATTTAGAGTAGCATATGCATAATGCATGCAAATCTGTACCATATTTTGTTCATTTTTTACAATATATTAAGGGACCACACTTCAAAGTATTTCAGGTTTGTTATAGCCATAAAAATTGTAGAGATTAAAGAAGATGAACTTGACAGAGATATGTGGGTACCTTTACCTAGAGACAAAAAAGGCTGACATTTCTTTTTAAGTCTAGAACAATAAGATATCTCAGGCACAAGGAATCAGAACTATA